TTTCTTTAATATATTTGGTTATGTATAGCAATAACGCATCGCAAATATCAAAACTCAAAACCCAATATTTAAGTTGCAATAAATATTTCTAGTTGTGACACCCGGCTGGCTATTCCTTTGATCGTGACGTCATACCGCTGCTTTCGATGGATAAGCCGACATGTCGTAGTGTTATTCTAAGGTTAGAGGATTAGAATTATATTATTTACGTTTATTTTTGGCTCTTGTAAAGATGTATAGTATTTAATCTACGCCAGTTTGTCTTTGTGCTTAATGTGCTTTACATGATAATAATGGAAGCAACTCAAAAACAATATTACAAGTCGTGCCATCATATTTGAGTACAACTCGTAAAATGCCAGATAAATTTTTTATGCGTCTAACAAAAAGCCTTCGCTTTTTGTTAACATTATGTTCAAGTGTCACTTAGGCCTTAACCGTGCAAACAGTTTTAACTCTTCGAACTTGCATCCATCCTATTGCAGTCTCCATAAGAATGGCTTCCTGATCTATGTAAAATAAAGAACACTTTAATTTATCAATGCTATACTTTAAAATCAGTATTTAGGTTTCCGCTAGTTAAAAAAAAATCCTTTTTGTTTTTTCCTTTTTTGGGTGAATAATTTACGTTTTAATTGATATACCGTTTGAATTTTAATGTTATGTTGGTTTAAAACTAGCAGCTAAACTTTCCATGAACATACTACAGGATTCAGACTAAAATTAAAATTAAAATCACCAAGACGAACGCGTTGTCATTCTCTAATGGCTTCTCTATGCTATCGTCCGGCTGGAGCGTAGTTTAATGTGCGAAATGACGTCACAAGCGGTCACAGCAAATGACAGCCGGTTTCAAAGAGGATTTGAAGTTTACAATTTGTAATTGGTTATATTTGTTACATAAAACTACGAAATTAGTTTTTTTTTGTGAACTGTGGTTCTTTTAATAGTATAAACTTACTTTTAAAAGCAATATTTTGCCTAGTTCCCTATAGTGTAATAACGTGGAGAAATTTTTAAAGTTCTGTTTTCCGCGAAGCTCTGCGTGCCCTATTATATCTTTGTCCGTTAGTAGATGTTAGGAGTTTTTTGGGTAAGTAGAAAATCTGATTCTGATGCTACGTTTCTGGAGAATTGGAGAGACATGTTTCCTGAAACGCTTGTTATTAAAGTATGAATTATTTGACAGGTATATTGATAAACAAGTGATAAAATTTAATTATTCTTAAGACTCATATATGAATTTTCTATGTTTCGTAGCTGAGGCAGCCCATTAATTAAGCTTAAGAAATTTAAGAAAGAATGAATAAATGAGTTTTAAAGATAGTTAAATTATATTTTCATCAGCTTCAGCTTCATTTTGAGATTGATTTAGACATTTTAGCTTCCTGTACAATGCCAGTAAATAGGCTTTATGTCATACAAAATACATTATAAAAAAGCCTAAAAATGTACTATTAAGTCGTTAATTAATAGAAATTTATCAATGGAAAACAATATATTACATATTGTTGCAAGTTTGTTTAATATATTGTTGTGGCTTCCAACAAGAGAGAATTAATTTTTATGTTAAACATTAAACTTATTTTGCATTTTTAAAGGAGCTCAGAAATAAGGGGTCAAATATTTTAAATATATTTTTAGAATTGCTATTGACAGTATCTTTGGAGCATGCCGTTATCGTACGTAAAAAAAAAGGAATAGGCATCTAACTTTTTGCGTCCCATCTGGTTATCGCTTTCTCGCTCTTTCTCTAGGAAAGGTTTCGGAAATATTAATTTCGTCAAACAATACTCATTGTTCGATGTTCGGTACTATAATTTTTAATTTATTTAAATATTATCCGTTTGTTGTAAGAATAATAACTCTGAAAGTAAACTTGACAATAAACGTTCAATTTTTCCCATTTGGAAAATTTTAATATAGATCTAGGCGTACACCTAAAACTCCTAACGATTGAAAATTACGTAGGTGTTTCATAATCACAGGTCCCAAATAAGCTACGGTCCCAAATAAGCACGCTTGGGAAATTTTATAGCCTCTCGTAACACTATATCTCGGTATCAAACATAAATAAAATATTACTGCCACAGAAAGCCTAATCACACACGGGATGTTGCGTTTTATGTGTACCGACATCAATATTAATCCCCCTCGCTGCGACGCATATACCTTTTGCCGTATCGCACATGGACGTAACATTTTTATTCAATAAAATTAAACCCACAAAAATTAGTTTGAGTTGTGATACCAAATTTCTTTAATATGCAGACTGTCGGCATAAATATACGACAATAGACGCGATAACACTAATGACGTCACGCTCGGTTAGAATTGAATGCAGTCAGTCATCGTCAAACGTTAACACAAATAATTGATATGGGAAATGATAAATAATCGACAGGAAGGCATCTTTGGGTTAATGTGATGAGTTTAATGTGATTTAGTGTGCTTATTATATACTTAATTACGGTTGGTTGAGGGTAATTAGGACAGTATTGCCATTTATTTTAATGTTAATAGCCCCAAAAAACCCAATAAACAGCCGCAAGGAAATAAAAATCCACTTGACCGAAAAAACAAAACACAGACTCAGAACTGTAATCTCAGAAAAATATGACAGCTCTTTTCCTTAACCCTGCTGGAAATCTAGGTCATACATGGGGTATCTTGGTGAAGAATACGTCGTCTCATGTGATCTTATTGATTCTCATTTGAAGACATATAAATTACTGATGAGGTAGAGGTTTGGGAAAAAATCCTTAAAGTGGAGAAGAGCAAAGAAAGAAGGAAAATTATTATGAACTTAGTAACACTATTCAAAAAACATTTGCCCTAGTTTTTTAAACAATTAAAATAAATGCACAACGTATATCTAAGATTTGGAAAACATGTTCAAATTCAAATATTTAACGCTGAAAATATGTCCAAATTTTGTTTAAAAGCATATTTTCCATTTAGCAATATTGAAAAATGGCGTTTTCTTGTGGTAGTTGTTTCTTTCATTAATATAAGAGAATTGATTTGTTATGAAAAAAAAAAGATTTTCAAAATTTATAGTAGAGATAGCCAAAAATTAGGTAAATACACATAGTATAGATAATGCATAATAATACATAATGAAGTTTTTGAGCTACGTTTTTGATTTTTATTTTTTTGTTAAGACAGATGTTTGCTGGGACTCCAAGATATGAATCGAAGTTTCTATTGTATTGCCCACCCAGTATTTTCTTTCACTTCTTATAGTTACAAGAATTAGTTATTTTCATCACTATTTTTTGTATACCACAATTTTTAAAATACACCAGTGGCGGGCGTACGAAATTTCACCTGCCTATTTTTTGAGACATTCATGGTGCGTCACTGATTTCTCTTAAAATAAAAATTATTCTTACAATCCCCAGTCATTTCTAAAGGAATTTATTTTGTTGATTTTTATTATTATTATTATTTGCTACTAAAGTAATTGTCTATCTGTTTTATTAAAATACTTCAAAAAATCGAAGTACGAATACGAAGTATGTAAACTCTGAGGTGTATTTTTGAAATCTTTGATTGAAAGTTGTTTGACATCAGTTTTTTAATTCAGTTCTTCATGTCTTATTAATTTCGTGTTTAAAATATACGAGCATTGTTATTTTAAAGAAGAGTGGTCGAGTTTACTAATAAGGAATTGGCAGATATGCATCACTAGGAGCAGAAATTGAAGATGCATTTTTAAATTGTATTGATGAAAATCCTTAAACTTAGTACTAGAAAAATTGGAAATAATCTGAATATCTCGCACGTCTTGGTTTGGACAATTTTACACGATTTTCTATTCATTCATATTCAACGAGTCCAAGCATTACTTCTCAGAGATTTTCCCTTGCGTGTCCAGTTTTCAATGATTTTTGGACAAAATTGCGCGTTATCTCTTGTTTGACAAGAAATGCGATTTATAGAAGACGCTGTTTTCCTGAAATGCAATCAGAAATTTCCACAATAACCATTTTGGCTGATGAAGACCTCCATGAAATTAAACATGAAGAACAGTTTTCGGTAAATATTTGGGCCGGAATTGTTGGAAATTACTTAATTGGACCCTTTTTTCTGCTAGGAAGGTTATGATTTTCGCCGTTTTTTAGAAGAGGATTTGTCAATATTGCTAGAAGAGGTACCATATTTAATTAGGAAGAGAATGTGGTTCCTGCATGACGACGCACCTGCTCACTTTAGTGTCGCAGCAAGAGAATATTTAAATCACAAATTGAATAACCGATGGGTAGGTGGCGGCGGACCTCTACCGTGACCCCTTGGATTCCCAGATTTAAATAGTTTGGACTTTTTCTTATGGGGGACTCTTAAAGGTCTAATTCATCGCACCCCAGTTAACACTGTAGAATAACTGTAAAAGTAAAAAAACAGTCCTCTAATATACTTTTTTTTCTGAAGGACACTGGTTGGTAACTAAAAATATTTTACAAAAATATTTTGTTTCCTTAACCTAACCTAACCAAACCAAACCAAATTAACCAAAATATTATTTGTTCACAGTCAGTCAGTGGCAGGTCACTGATTTTATGAAAAAAAGACATTTGCATTCATTTATGAGCAGATTTGATTTTTTTTTATCCTTCTCACGGTTTTCACTTGAAAATAAAAACTAATTTCTCTGTATGCTGTTAACGATTTTGCTATGATCATTTAGAGAAGATGTTTTTTTTTTTAAACGGAAACCGTACATCGGATTTGATGTTATTTTTAAAATATCATTGCGGCTTCTGTGACGATTAAAAGTGCGGCATATTGATTGATTATCGCAATATTTATAATAAAAAAATCGAGGAGTTACTCGACAACGAGCGTAATGCTTAGTGTATCACCCTGTAACGTGGCTAAATCGGCTGCCGAGCTTTGACCAAGGGCCATCATCGGCTCGCACACGCTCTATGGAAGAAGGTCTTTTGGGGCATGTAAGCTTATATAATCATCTTCGGCGCCAAACGCGTAACATTCTTCTTCGGGTTATCTCCAATAGTGTTAGAAAAGTGTTAACTCCAGTTTTCGTAGTTGCGCAGTAGTTCTGGTTAAAATGGTGCACGAAAATCAAATTATGGTGAGCTATTTCGAGTGCTTCTAGATTGATTTCCTTTTAGGTGGCTTTAAGTTTTTGAGTCTAGTGAATTTTTACGAAAAATATATAAATTATAATTATTTACTGTTTCTACAGATTAAACAGTGCTTATTCATTCTTTAGTTTGACTATATCATTATATAAAAATCATTAAAATAACAGATTTTAAAATTTAGTTTGAAAAATGTGATTTTTGTTATCACTTTCAGTAAAAGTTTAGTGAAACTCTTTGAATTTTTCGTTTTGTTATTCGATTTATGTGAACAAAGATAATTTTACTCGAGTTTGGCGGTTTGTTAAGTGGTTATTTCGTCCTTAATTAAAACTTTGTTCTGATGCAAGTTCCAAAACGAATAAAATTATTTTAAGAAAAAACTTTTTTTTGTGATTTTTTCCGAACCTTTTCTTGCTTGGTATTGATTTTTTTTTATTTATTTAAGTTATGTTCAAAATAATGTCGCTTCATTGGTTTTGGCCCCGTTTGGTTAGCATAGCTTAAAAAATTGCTTTGGCATTACAACGGATGTACAATGTTATGTTTTTTTCAGGAAAATTTTAAACATCAAATACCAGGTAGTATACCTTAGCTATTGCAGGTCATTCCAAATTAGAGCCACCAGTTTCTTAACATTTTTAGTAAATCTTCCTTTTTTATTTGTCAAGTACCTAGCCACCGCTGGATTAATCGTTAATTTTGATTTTGTATTTTCCTTGACAAGCTTAATGAAATTCACCCCCAAAAGAAGAACCTGTTTAAATCAGTTTAATAGCAATACATACTACATATATTACAACAAATTTAAAAGTCGCAAATTATCGGGCTCTGGGCTGGCCATTTTTTATCATTTATTCGTATTTCTGCAATATACGACATTTAAAACATTGAACTCATGCCTAAAGTAGCATAGATTTACATAATTATTATTTGATGATCAAACAACGTGCCGAAAAAGCGGCATACACATATTATTACTAAAAAAAAAACTTAAAATACATTAAAATACATTAAATTACCTAAATATGTACATTTAACAAATATTTTTTATTTCTTCAATAAAGAAAAACGTGTCATACAAATGATTAAGTCCAATTAAAAATTATCGTCACTACAAAAAAATACTTTATTTATATAACTATTTTTATGTATTTTGTTTGTAGAGAATATGCTGAGTTATAATTTATTTATAAAATATGATCCAGGAGAAGGATTAAAACTATATTAACAAATAATTTGACCCCAATTAATCCAGTCAGGTTAAAAATTGAGAAATAATTTAAAACAATATCTTATTGCACTTCATTTTACTACGAATCTCAGTTGACATCGAATTCATTGCTGTAAAATGAGTTCCAGATTTCATGATAATCTTTATTCCATTCTCTATATTATTTAACGTTTCCTATAAATAATTTGATAATTTAATTTGCAACAATAGCTGATAACCTACAAGCTCTTAGAAAATTTTCAGAAAAAAAAAACATTAAATTTTATTAACACCCGAGTAAAATTCGAAAGCAATTTTGTTAAGAACTACAACACCCATAGGGAAAAACTACTACACAACGAAAACAATATAAATGAACCAAAAAACTTGAGACAGAAAATGTTTTAATTGTGGGTTGTAAATAGCAGATTGTTTAAAAAATACACTCCAAAAACACAGCTCAAATTTCCTCTGGCCTCTGTTAGCGCAAACCGAATAAAAACGGCGTAAATAATATTTTAATCAAATAATTTCGATTACCGTCCCAAGAACTACGTGAACGCGACTTGGGAGATGTTTATCTTTTGATGTAGACCGATTTAATCTTTACGTAAAACGTTCTCGAATAAACCGCTTAAAAACCACTTACGAAGCTCAAATTCTTGGTTATTGGTCTGGCTCGCTCGAGTTAAAGGAATCCCACTTGTCATCTATTGTTCCCGGGTAGAGGTTGAGATCGTTCCATCACGCTACCATTATGTTGTCTTTGATCGTTTATTTATTGACATAGTGGCGTAAATACGTGTAATTTATTTCTACGGGGTAATCGATCATTCGGTTGAAAAATTCCGTGAGAAGATATTACCCAAAATATAGGTTACACGTAAATTCGGCAATACATTTCTAAATAGATCGCCAAGAAATTAATAGAAAATTGGTTCAGCGCTTAATAATTTCAATTACCAAATTTACCATTTTTCAAAATTGAAGCTATACTATCGCTCCCCCTATAATGTCGCCCCACTTGAATAATTTTATTTTCAGAACTGAGTATTTTGTAATATCGGGTGTTGGTTAAATTAGTTAACTGCAGAAAAAGAATTGTATATTTATATCATATATTTTTAACTATAATGTTTGCAAAATCTTCCATAGAACATTAACGTAACATTAATCTTGATCTAAAATCTTTTCAACAAGTTGGTTACGATTTTATGAAAGTTTTATAAAATGGTGTCCTATTTAAAAAAATTTCGGGCATTCTAACTACACATTTTCTAGCCTCTAGATGCGATGTAATTGTTTTGTTTTTGTTTTTTGACTCTCAATGAGCATGAAAAATACACTTTGCTATTTTACCCAACATCGCATCTCTAATAATAAAAAAAAAGCAATAAAGCTCGCTTAGTTTGGTACGTTGTGTATACTTACTAAAAATACTCTATGTAGAACCAAAACTGAAAAATTGATGTATACAGGAAATACCAAAAAGTCAGTTTTTTTAACGAATCAACTAATATCTTTCACTTTAATTGTGCGTCTCATCTTATAATTTCTAAGAACAAAATTAAGTAATATTTCCTGTACCTAAATTGAGCAGTTTCTGAAATATTTGAATTTCAAACGTTCAAATATTTTCATAAAAACCCATAATAGCAACTAAATGTTTATCCAAAAAAGATCGCACCTTCACCAAGGCAAAAATGACGAGTGGCAGTGAGTTTCGGACGGGTGTCGGTACCAATAAATATATTTCAGACACAATATAAATAAATATGAATTCATGGTTTCGTGGATTTTCTATTCCATTTCATAAAAATGCCTGTTTCAATTTTTGAATTTTATGGTAACATAAAGTTAGGGTTTTGCCGTTACATTTAAAACTCTTCTATACTTTGGTGAGATTATCATGTAATTATTATTTCATTCTTTCTGGTATTTAAGGGAGATAGCTTCGATGCAAAAGCTCCAATACTTCACTTATGAGCGCTGAATTAATCCCGATTAGAGTTTAAAAAAAATGAAATAAATTTATCGTTATGTTTTCTGGCCGGTCCGTTTACTGCAATTAAAAGTGGTGTAAATATTTATATTATTTGTACAACAAGTTCTTGGAATCCTGCCATCCATCTTGTCCATAAGGGGTAAATGAATTCAAACACTCATTTTCATTTAAAACTAAATTGCCATGTGTGCCTGAAGAGGCACTATCTGAAACATGATTTCAAACTTTTATGCAAGTAAAACTGACTTGCAAAAATAATTTATTTGGAAGAGGGCAGAGGCAGAGGTTATTTTCTTTAATTCATATTCTTACAACTCCAATGTGAGAAATGTAAGTGTGCTATGAACCTAACCTCAATAAATAATATCGTTATTAAAAAAAACGCTGTTATAACAATATTTGTTTCAGTTCGGTTGCCTTTTGTTCGACCCACTTAAACCACTCGGACCTAATAAATAAACACTCGATTATTGATTGCTCCTTTTTGTTCCAGTTAACGTTGGGCGCGCTTTTGGCATTGTCATGGAATGCATCAGCGTTTTGGTTCGGCACCGAGGAACCCAAACCCTCGTAAGCTTTTTTGTTGATTAAATTGAACACAATACGTAAATTAATTACATCCGAAATTTTTAATAAGTCGCTTTAAAAGTTTTTCTATTTACATTTTCTTATCGTGGCCTCATCAATATACGTAAACACTTTTAGATATAATTACGGGCCCTGCGGTTTTGAAAGTCACGGTGACCAGTGAAGGACGCCATAAGGTTTAACCGTAGTTTCCTGTTGAGATCGACAAAAAATGAGTAGAAACGCGTTTTTAACGGGCTCCTTTTTTTATTTTAGTAGTCCCAGAGTTCTCTATTCGCCACCCTCGTATTACCAAAACTACGCACCGCCGCCTTTGCCTTATATTCCGATGCAAGTGCCGCTACCTGCAGCGATGGCGCCCGCAGCATTGCCACCCGCGACCGTCCAGAATGTCCAACTCGTTCCCTGTTTATGTCCCGTGACGCAGGAGATCCGGGAATACAGCTACGAGGGACAAGTGGTTGACGCAAACAGGAAAATGCGTCAGTTTGCTCAATCTATCGGCGAATACGGACAGAATCCCGCATCGACGGTGGTTGCTACGCAACAGAAGCGATAAACGATTTTAGACACGCCCATATAGCTACTAGGTAACGACTATACAGGCTCCAATGCGAGACAGGCGGCTATGAGATTTTTGACCAACATTTTCCGCACACTTAACTCTATGAAAATGTAACGCTCAAATCGATCATGAAAAATTTTTGGCGTTGCTGCTATCGTTTTCATCATACTTACTCAATTTATCTACTAGCTATATGGACTCGCGAAATAAGTATTTATTAAAGTCCAGAACAGATTGATATTCTCGTAAATATTATTTTTTCATTTACATTAGTATATGGTCATAGTTTTTATTATTTATTTATAATGTTCGACTAAAATTACTAACAATAATATAACTGATCCCTTTTCTCCTTGTGTCATACACTCGTTTATTTTACATATTACGTAGATGTTCGAAGAAATCCCCCATTATTGTTGTCTATGGAAAGTATATATTTTAGGTTAAATTTCGGACGCCATTGTCGCATTATTTTTGTATTTTAAATGCATTGACTGTTTGTTAAGGAAATTCAAGAATAAAGTTTTTCGTTAGATATTACATTTATTTAATCATTAATAATAAGCGCAACCGTCTAGTTTGTAATCTGAAGTGCAATGAAACACAGAGATATTTAGTATTCGAAGCATATTTTTTTATGGTCAAGTTGCAAGTAAAGTGAAAACACGAAAATATTTTTAAAAATATATTTTTCAAAACCACCCACCCGTTCAAAGTTCAAAATCTCTCTGGTTTATTATATCGCAAATATAAATTAAATGAACATAGAAGTAGAACACTGACGTTAACTGGTGTACAGGAATTGGAGACTTTTAAAGGGAAACTCCCTTTCCTTAAAGAGATAGACAAAAGCTGATGTCGGTGTCTGCTGTATATTGTTGGAAACACCTCTTGGATATCTGTTGCCGTTTCCGATTTCTACGTTGTTTTTCTAAAATGTGCATCTTTAAAGAAGTATCTTGCGAAATATATTACAAAACACTGTATATCTTTTTGCGAGAGCGAGTGTTTAATAAACGAATGACTTAAAAAGTTTACCGAACGTGTTGCATACTATACTTTTTCTACGACCTTTAGTTTTTGGTACATTTTTCTCAAAGCAACTAGAATACATTCACTGACATGACCGTCAGAATTGACAAACGTCAAAATTCAAAGCGTGGGAAATATCTCCGAAAACATCCGATTGCTCCCAACTGCGTGCGGGAAATCCCGGAAATGTGGGGCAATATGCTAATGCGTAAAATACGTATTTAAAAGTCTTGGGTATTTTTTTTATCACAAAACTGGTGATTAATTAATTAATTAAAATGTTGGCAGAAGTCTTTCTACAGTATCACGTAAACCTGACCTGACCGAACTAGACCTGAGTCGCGGTTAAGATTGTTAGGTTGTTTATAGATTTCTATAGACTCTCGGATTTTTCGTTGGTAGAAGAAATGATTACATGCAAGAATTTTTAGTTTTATCGAATAAAATTGGATTCGGCTGATGAGTTTATTTGTCTTAGTCGTAAGGCTCGTTCGTGTTTTTGTAAAAAGTAAGTTTAGGGAAAAATATATCTAAAATCAATGTTAGGAATCAGAAACATTGCTTTCAGGGTTTGAGAAAAGTGTTCTGTTGCTACAAAAAGTCATGTCTTTGACACATCACTTTTTTAGTCGATTTCGATCAAGTTTCATCAATTTCTCTGTAGAAAGTGTTTTCGCCTATAAATCTTGCAAATAATTTACAGAAACGAATACACCGAACACAAAATTAAACAAATAACAAAATGCTTCGTTATCAAATTCACTTATAATATCCAAACTTTATAACGTCATGCAGTAATCTGAAATAGGGAACTTGAATTTTTTTAAGATCTTTAATGATCGTGACGTCATACCGCTGCTTTTCGATCGATACGGCGACATATTATAGGCCGAGAATTATATTGTTTACATTCATTTCTGGCTTGTGTGTTTGTATTTAATCTACGCCAGTTAGTATTTGTGCTTAGTGTGCTTTACATGATAATAATAGGCGCGACATAAAAACCAAAAACTAAAACTTTTTATTCGTCTACCAGAAAATAAAAGCCGTCGTTTTTTGTTAACATTATGTTGAGGCGTCACTGTAGCCTTAACCGTGCAAACATTTTAACTTATCAGTGCCAATATACTTTAAAATCAATATTTAGGTTTCCACTAGTTTTAAAATATCCTGTTTTTTTTTTTGTTGATTAATTTACATTTAATTTGATATAACATTTGAATTTTAAAAACTAGAAATCCTTTAAGCTCATTTCAATATTATATTGGCTTAAAACTGGTAGTTATATTTTTTATGAACATACCTTTTAGCTTTAACATCGCGAACTTCGACAAAAGAAAATCTTTCGGTATTTTGTATGTAAGACGTCGCCATAAAGATATCCACTAAAGGTAGATTATCAGATTACCTTTTAAAAAAGCGGCTTCGGTCATTTTCAAAACTTTCTTTTTGATACTAAACACAAGATAACAAAAGCAAGCGACAGGATCAAGACTACATTTAAAATTAAAACTACGAAGATAAACGCGTCGTTCTCTATGCTACCGTCCGGCTGGCGCGTAATCTGACGAGCGAATTGACGTCACAACCAATGACAGCATGTTTCAAAGAGGATTTAAATTTTACAATTTTTAATTGCTTATATTTGCTACACAGAACTACGAAATTATTTTTTTGTGTTTTTTTTTTAATAGTTTCAACTTAAGTTTATAAGCAATATATTTCAAATTATTTTTTTTTTCAAGTTCCCTATTGTATGACAACCTGGTGAAAATTTTAAAGTTCTGTTTCCCGCAAAGCTCTGCGCGTACGGATCGTGTCCCGAGGCGCTTGTAATTTTTCATCGCTCGTGATTAAGAGGGTCTACCACAAACTTTTACATGTTGATGAAGCTTATAACCACTCAGCACATCATTTTTCTCGTTCCATTATAATTTTTGATTAATTGAGTTTATGCGTTTTAAATTGGACGGTTCTTTTGAGCCGATGATGCCCCAGTGAGGACGCATTGGTCGGGCGATCACTCTTTTTGTTTCGCTTGCGACTCCAGAATAAATTATTGCATTGGATAACGGTGAAATATTTTCCTACATTTTTAAAAGATACTCTTAAATAGTTTTTATTTCTGCCATATACAGGGCGTTCGATATAAGCTTATATGTTAATAGTATTTTTTGGATAACAACAATTCGAATAGATTTATACAAGCAAGGTCACTCAACACGAATTAGAAACAATAGGAATAATTGAAGAGTTCGGTAGAGGTACGCAACACAAAAATTTAACATAAAAACAAGATTGCTTTCCAAAAATCGTCGCTGGGCGGGGCAAGTTCGTAGCGCGTATCACGAAGCAGATTTTTATTATAAAAGGAGACAACTTCGCGGTTTCTTGTGATAAAGGGACGCATTGTTTCTTGGAACTTTCGCAAAATCGTCGTCATTTTATTGTGAATACGCCTTGCATAAAGCGTCCTTCACATCTCTTCAAACTTCAAAGTTACGGCAAACTTCGGTAAATATTAAAATTTGTACAAATAATAGCGTTTGAATTTTTTCAAATATCTCGCCCGCCCTGTATAATTGCCGAAACCTGAAACTCTCTCTCGGCGCGGTTTACGATACCGTTCGAATCAAATTATCCCATCTTTAGCAGTTTTTCATTTATCGCCAATAATTTAACCACAAAAACGGAAATTTCAAGGAACTTTTAGATTTTCTGCCGATAATCGACACACCCTGTATTAAATTCAACCAATGTTCGAAATAGGGGTGATAGCCCACGTTTCCTGGTGTATAATTTTTTCCAATAGAGTAAGTGATTTTCAAGAAAATACTTGTTTTCTGAAACCATGCAGTACACGTCTCCATTGAAGGCGAGAAATTGTGATTTTCATTTGGATTTTTTCAAATATCTCGAACAGCGTATGTGATAGACGAAAACAGTAAATACTAAAATTTTAGCTCTCGATGTGGCTTATCACACTGTTTAAACCAATTGGCCATATTTTTCACGAATTTAGATTTACGGCTAAAAATTTAATAGCGAAAAGATCGATTTTCATGGTCTTTTAGATTTTTGTCCATAATTGAAAAACCTTGTATACAATCGAAAAAATGTCTGAAATAAAAGTCATAGCCCTGGATCTCCCGCATTTTTTGGCTCTAAAATTCTGCCGATCGGTTGAATAGTTTTTGAGAAAGTCATGTTTATCTGCAAGACAAAAAAAATATTTGGTGACATTTCACTATGCTCAATTTGTACTGTTTAGATGTGCTTACGGGCTTTTACTTCGTTGCCAAATTTGAAGCCGATGACTACATATTTGAAACACCTATTACGTTTTAGAATATAGCACAGAATATTCCGAACACCCTGTACAATATATGAAAACCTTCAATACAAAAGTTTTAGCTGTCCATACGGGCTATATAGAAATGTGTCAGAAACTGACAACGGAATCACAGCCTTCTAGTTATGGTCAATTATCAATATAAAGGGGGCTCAATTGTCAGTTTCCTGCAACTTACCGACGCACCCTGTACATTTTTAAAAAATCGTCAAGAATTAAGGTTTTTGGCCCGGATCTTGCGCGCCGTTTGGTTAAAGAATTTTTTTGATCGCATGTACCATCTTGGAGAAATGATTTTTTTCTCGGTACCCTGCAAGTGAGGTTTTTAAATTTTTAAAACTACGGAGAAACGGATAACGGAGAACGGAGAACAGAAAAAAAAATTTTTTTTTCGACGCTGATCGTTTCTGTATCAATTGCGGTCCCTAGAACCTAGCGATACCGAGATATAAGTTTCATGGCCAGGCCCGTATACTTTAAAAAAATTCGATTTCATCGATTTTTCGAAAGTAACAAGGTCATAATCTCAGTGAAATGTAATAAAAATTCTGTTCGTAATAAGATTTTTAAAGGCTTGTAAATTAGTATTAATCTTTTCATCACCCCTGACAATATTAGAGGAAACCAGGAAACATAATTGATAAGGTTATTTACTATCTTATAAACGAGAAATATTAAAACACTGCCTTCTGGAATTCTATGATTGCAAGAGACAATAGTGTAAATTCTCATTATAAGAGTGAAGGTGGATTTGGCTAATGAAAACAGAAAATTAAGACCATTAATGAATTTAATTTAGAGCCTCTCGATTTGATTCAGTTAGTTGTGGTATATCGGACTTCAAACTGTTGACTAATACTTCAGAACACTCCTTAATCAGTAGCTCTTAGAATAAATCCTAAATCACGCAGGGCTTTCCCAATGATATATTGAATCGCCCCTATATTTTTAAGAACATTAACACGTACACCACAGCATATTATCAACATTTTAGGTGAGTCCGCCTTCAAATTAACTACGTCTCAAGGAGAATTAACGACAGCAGAAATTTTCAGGTCACCAACGTATAAAAAATACCTACTGTGAGAATTTAGAAAACAAGTTCCTATATCATATAAAAATAAATCAAAGAACAAGGGACTCGGCTATTAAAGGCAATATACATGGTTCTATTTTTCAAATAATTTTTGAAAAATTCTGGAGACCGAAATGTCCAAGTTTAGCAGCCAACGTGATGAACCTTCTCAAAGGATTTGGGAAAGTCGTTATAAGCAACGCAGACATCATCACGACCATTCTCCATAGGTTCTCTGAACAAAAGGGCCAGTAGTTAAATAAGAACAAACGTTCAGATTTTCATGTAAATATATTTAAATGACAGCTGTTTCGGCAACACCGTGCCTTTATCAAATGCCGCATTTGATAAAGGCACGGTGAACAACGTTTTTTCTTATTTAACTATTTTAAATGGATTTTCATCAAGTAAAAGCCACTTCAGTACAAAAGGGCCAGGATTAGTTAGAAGGGACCTTGTAAAAACCCACTTCGGTTGCTGTTAATGTTGTCTCAATTCGAGAGAACAATAGCTCAGACTCAAAAACTTGTCCAAAACGACATAGCAGAAAAATTGGAAGGTAAATCGCAACATTACTTTTGTTCCTGTTGCCTGAATAATCTATTCTTTCGAAAAAATTCTCTCTTAATAAATAATAGGGTTTATTGGTTTGGTTGGTATGGTTGACTTAAGCTAGGAGAAGCATACAAAAATATCTAAGGGATCCCGTCGGAGAAAATATGGCGTAGGATATTTTCAATAGTCAAATAGGGGGAATGGTTCATTATAAAAGAGTTCATGGGTTCGGATACATTAACCAAATACGAAATATTCGATTTCTCACAGACACGACCAAAATAATCCAGAAATAAATTTACAATTTCTTTATCGCTTGAAGGGGAAGGCCAACATTCATCCTTTTAGATAACGATTAATAAAGACCAAAAACTTTTAGTGTCATTCTTTAAATTATCAAAAAAAACTTTCAAAACTATGGGCGTTCAATAACCAACATGCCCGCTGACAATTCGTTAGTTTGAATGTGACTTTTTGAAAGCAGGATTTTTTTCAATTCAATCCATGGTCGTTAGGTAGGAATCTTTGATACTCCTGACAATAGTGAAATTTCCTGAAACTAATTCTACGGAGCAAAGTAGTTTACTTTTACAACGTATAGGACGATACTAAAGAAGCACGTAACTTGTAGATTATTCCGTAAAATTTGGTATCACCAACCACATTTTATTACAGTATTGCGTAGCTTGTTATGTCTCAAAAATGAAAACATAAAAAGTAGTTATTTATTTAAATTGTTGTTTGTCAGTCTATGGAAGTCAACAACACTCTAACATTGTTATAAAAAACGAATTTCTCAAAAGTCGTATTAATAGAATATTAACTGTGATTCGTCAATTTAAAAAGAATTTGAGAAATACTAAACGTTTGTCGATAGCTAGATATTTCAGGAAAAAAAATTGTAAAATACCTATAAAAATTAAAAACTTGTAGATTCCGTTCCTAAATGTAATCTTTCAAAATTCCGCTCATTCCGTCTATAATGAAGAAATTTTTTTCCGGCACGCATGACGAATGTTAGAGGAGCTATTAGCCACGATCAATTAAGACGATTAAGTAACCGCAACCTATAAAAAATCAAAGACATCTCTTTCGCTCGACTGACGAGCGAAATGGCTGCAATTCGTATAGTACAAAAGTGTTATATAGAAAAAGTAAAAGTGCAAAATTAATTTTACGTAAAAGGACTACCTCTCGAAAACAGTATTTAGGCTAGTCATATAATCGCGACTTGTAACATGTCGAGAAACCGCCCGCAACGAAAATCCACCAAGTGTTTCCTGTTTTGGATATAAAAGGAGGTTGATAGCGCCGTTTCAAATCACTACCGAAATCGGTTTTGACGTAAGTGTATTTATTTATGTTTTGAGTATAAGATTTCGCGAAATCCGTTGGGAACCATGCAATTTTTGAAGTGGGTAAGTCAGCGTTCGTTCGCATCTCGACCTTTGTTTCGTTACAGTGTCGTTTTTAGTTGTTCGTGTATTTTCTGTCCATGATTTCCTGGGTTTTCGTTAAAGCTGGCGGGGGCGGAGGGTAAGTATGTAAAATGCGATCAACCTGTTTTTTTGTGTACAAGATTTAATAAAACGCTTATGTGATAATATGGATTCTTACAAGAATAAGGATCGGGACACAATATTTTGCACTGTTGCAAGAAATACATTAGCATACACTTGAATAGTACATTTAATTTACTAATTTTATTTGTGTCACAATAATTTTTGCTTTTGTATTGATTAATAGACTTTTAGGAAAATAAAGGCGATCTACATCTCCAACGTTTTCGTTGTCGGTAATTTTGTTTTTCTTAGAAAATATTTGCAAAGCATTTTTTTATATTTAAAGTATAATGGTATAGGTATAATATTTTTTAAAGTAATAGTTTACCAGTTATCAATAGAATTTTGGGAAGAGAACAAGACCAAAAGAAACAGGGATCGTTCAAAGTAATTCTACAATTCTACAACAAAAACATTAACATTAAAAAAACAACAACAACATTAAAAAAAAAACATTGAAGTAGAATATCAAGTGTGCTATATTATTAATATTATTATTTCCTTAACGTAATATTCGTAAAGGTATTGAATTACCTTTCAAATAAAACTAAATTCGTAAATACATGTTTCTATGAGTAGCCATCTGCAGGTTCTACAACAATTTTTGCTATAATTAATGTTTTTTGTATAATGATAAGCAAAACGGAATACTTGCATAATTAGTACATGTAGGTAAAAATGGTCAGCGATGTTACTCACGTCGTTTTCAATAAAAAAAACATGTATTTACAAATTATACCATTTTATTTATGCTCTCCGTAAAATAAAAAAAAAAACTAGAAAAAAACATTTAGTTGGATTTAAGGAATGTTTTTCCTTGTAATTTTAGTACATTTTTGTACGGGAATATGGATGATATAGAGACAGTTAAATATTCATTAAAACATTTTATATCAAAAATAGTTATTTGCGAAGTAGTGCAAAAAGTGTGTATTTGTATAAAGTCGCAAAGAAAATATGCGCTACATTTGCAAAAAGTATATTTGTGAGCTAGTAGCTCAAATTATTAAATGTATTTGTGCATAGTTTTATCATATGGGAATTATTGATTACCAAAAAAAAAAGGCATTAATTTTACAAAACTCCTACTAAAACAATGTAATATTGAAATACAGTAAATAAAACTAAGCACTGCTCGATTTCCTGCGTTTTTGTAGTTTTTAGTAGTTCGTACTCCAAGTAGGTTTGTTTACGACTCTGCGTTTCGTTTTTGTACTCAAGAAAGCTTATATAACGATGTGGCAAAGTTACGTAAATGGTTAATTTAAGCTCTAGTTAACACCGGTGCGTTATATAATATATGTATGTTGCCTCAGTGCGCTAGTAGGTATATTTTTTGCTCTTTATGCTTAGCGAACCAAAATTGTCCTAAAGATCGAGATAGGTAGATACGGTTACACAAAAATAAAAAACGTTTCTCGCGGTTTTGAAACTTTATGTACAGAAAAGAAGTGTCGGGGGTTTTAATTATTTTCTTTCTTTTCACAGGCACCACGAACACGTGGTAATTAAGGTTCCAGAATTTCATCACGTTCACAAACACTACGAGACGGTGTACAAAACTATACACCACGGAGGTGGTGGAGGTGGGGGTCACAGTCACGGTGGAAAGCCTTTCCATTTCGGCGGCCACAATTGAGAGCAAAATCATTTTCGGGATATGTTTTAGCACTACATTTCCAATAGGTGTTTTGTAATATTGCGTGGCAGCCGTTGAAAAAATAGTGTAGTTTATTCAACTTAAATTTTCTATGCTGCATATTCTAAAGCAAGGAACCTTTGCATCTATTTGATTTTCTGATGTATTAAAATATCATGTGCAATCTGTTAATTTAAGTTAGGTTAAGGTTACTTTGACGTTGTAATTTGTGATAATAAATGTATAACTTGGTTTAATAAGAATTTCCGTTCGTCATCCGTTATGAAGAAGTCAATCCAAAGGCAATTAATGTAGATTTTTCCTTTATTTTCATGTTATATTCATTCATTTTCTTAGAAATTGTCAATAAAGAATTCCGCGATTTAATGGGGTCGTAAGAAAGTATCTACTAGACTGAGTCCATTTTTTGAGCAATTCTTGGGAATGTAGTTGTAAGATATTGTTGATAATTATTAATTAGAATAATAGCTACAATCAATTTATTCCTGACCGTAAAATTCTTGAAGGTATTAAATTTTCTTGGTTTTATGGGTCAAATATTTAATACAAAGATTTTATACCTGTAAAAATTAGCTTTTTATGTGTTACCAATAATAGAGTCACATAAAAGGGTGTTAAGTAGCTGCTAATGGACCATTAAAAGTTCGTTAAAGTTCCGTTTGAATACCTATTTCGAACACTTTCAAAGATATTTGCATTTCCGTTTGTTCTAGGTATACGTATGTTGGTTTGAATAGAATAAAATGCAATTTAAATGGCAATTAAATTATGGAGCAGTTAAATGGTGAATTCAGCAATGCTTCTCCCAAAAATCGTAATCAAAACCACAACATTTTTCAAAAGACACATATTTTCCGCATATCATCAAATATTAAAGAAACTATTCAGTTATACAAAATATGTTTAGAATTAACGGTAGAATATAAATATGAAGAAACATTTTAGGGTCGAATAAAACAATAAAACAAAATACATTCTTACACATTTTAGGTTCGGTGGACAAGGACCTGTCAAATTTTGCATTTTTTTTTCTATCGTCAACGGTTTTCAAGATATTAACCTCCAACCCACTATCTGGACACTCTATATTATAATACAAATAAATTAGGAAAGTTTCAAACAATTTTATGATAAACTTAAGGTTAGTCATGAAATCGTTTGTTAGAAATTTCAGAAAATATAAAAAGTAAAATTTAAAACACATTATTAGAAAGGGAAACAGAAATTTTTTCATTTGCTTTTGAGATACGCCATAGATATATAAATTTTCCTATGGGCGGCATATTAAATATTTTCCTTATTAGGCAGAAATTTTGGGTAATGTATCACGCATTTATCATGTTTAGGGTCACAAAAAGCAAAATTTGAAAAATTTTGACAGTCCATTGATCGCATACACTGGTTATTAAATTTATTGTTTATTCAAAATTAAAAAGTCTAATTACATTGGAATTACTTACTAATTGCAATAGAATAAATAAGCAAATGATAATTCATTAATAAATTAATGTTTTTGATATTAATAATTACAGTCCCAATTACAATAGATGTTCAAACAAAAAGGGCTAGTATTTTTGGAGATGATGTGATTCTTTGAAATCCTTCAAGATCTAGCCGACGTAATTCTTCCTTTGTTTGCAAATTACGTTGGTAGACATGGCAGTTATATTTGGGGGTCCTACATATGTTCCTATCCAGTTTATACGAAATTTGTTTGATCGGTATTCTCGAGCTATTATCGAATTATGAGTCTTTTGGAAATCAAATATCGTTGACGTCGGCTAACTCGATGACTTCTTATTTATTTAGAAAACAAAAAAAAGATTTACCCAAAAAAATAACATTTGCAACAATATGCAATACAAGAATTCATTATTTTAATACATGTTTATTAATTATTATTAGTTGCACCGAAAAATGTGCAGAATATGTCATTACCACAAAATTCGCAAAATATTCTCCAGCAGACAATTTACTTTCAAAAAAGCTAAACAGTTAGAAAGATTGATAAAAAACATCTCTAATTACACTTAGCTGCCGTGTCTTTATCACATTTGATAAAGACACGGTGTTGTCGAAACAATTGTCATGTAAAAATATATAATTTCGTGAAAATCTGAACTTTTAGTTGTTATTTATTTTGATAAATCGATTTTCATGAAGTAAAAACCACCTCAGTTTAAAGAAAAGTATCCCTATTACTACCTACTATAAATAAAATGTGCCTCACAAAATCGATATTTGGTACAGTTTAGATCAAGTCCACTGGATTTCTGTTATTTTATGTTTTACTTATTATTTAGGAAAATAATGGCAAGCATTTGAATATGTGACTTTTCCATTCATATCATCAAATCTTTCCATGGGCGAACCGCTACGATTATTTGTAATTACAAAATTCCAATGTTGCAGTTATTCCAGATGCTGGACAACGGATGGACATATAAACAAAATAAGAAATCAATGAAGAAAAGAAAACAATAAGATTTGATTCGTTGTCACGAATCGTCGATCGTGGGAATACATTTTTACGCATAGTCACTTTCGATTTTTTTCGGAAGCAGGAAACGGGTCCCGGCAAAATCAACCGCGTAAATCGCTTTTTACCGACAATTCAGCCGATTTTATACATCTAATTACTTTGAGGCGAAAACGAAAATATGCAACGAAAACCGCAAAATATTAAGGGAATTAAACTCGGAGAAAATTTTATATATAAAACGTATTATTTGTGCGGGGTCATTCATTATTAGTCGCGATCGGCATCGGCATCCGGGGTGTCTGAGATGAGTGAGGTTTAATATTTGCCGGCCCAAACATGAAACTGGATTTTTTCTTACTGTTATTCGTCGGATACTTTGTGAGGGTTTCGCGGAGTGACGGGGGTGGCGGAAAAAAACAGTAAGCTTGCACACATTTTTTTGCACACGATTATAATTTTGGCTTTTTTAGTAAATAAACTTCGTCCTTGTTCTGTAAATATTTTTTCATTAAAATTTTCAATCGAAATTTAACGTTTGCTTTATCAAAACGGACATAACACTGCTGTAGACCCAAACATAGCTGGTGCGTCACAATACTAGCGTCTACCCTAATGTTTCTGATTACGTGAACCCAGACCTAAGCAGCAAGATTTGCCGTCGCTATTTTGTCCTAAAATATCAAGTTTTTGTTAGTTGCAAGTTTTTAGTAAATAAACTATGTCCTTGTTCTGTAAATATTTTTTCATTAAAATTTTCAATCGAAATTTTACGTTTGCTTTATCAAAACGGACATAACACTGCTGTAGACCCAAATATTGCTGGTGCGTCACAATGCTAGCGTCTTCCCTAATGTTTCTGATTACGTGAACCCAGACCTAAGCAGCAAGATTTGCCGTTGCTATTTTGTCCTAAAATATCAAGTTTTTGTTAGTTGCACAAAATTATAATTTTGGCTTTTTTAGTAAATAAACTTTGTCCTTGTTCTCTAAATATTTTTTCATTTAAATTTTAAATCGAAATTTTACGTTTGCTCTATCAAAACGGAGAAAAAATACTCTAGGTAATAATACTCCCAGCTCTCGATAATAAAAAAAATAAGGAGAAAATTACATGCCACGCTGGTTTCTCTTGTAGTATGAACTGTGACAAGAATAGGCTATTTTTGAATCAATAAGAAAAACCAAAAATTTTGAAAAAGTGCGTAGCGGTAATTAAATATGTACATGATGGTTATACTTCCACCTTTATTCCATAAACTATTGGAGATTGACTTTTTTTTTAATTTTTTTGTTTAAAAGAAAGAAAATAATATATTTTTTGTAATATCAAGAAAACTCGCGAAGATTGATAACTATTAACTAATAACGAAACGATTTTTGGGCGCAAGGGTAAAAAAAACAACACAAAAGTTAGACTAAGAGATAAATGTAATTCTGCTTCTAGCTAGATCAGAATAATAATTAGAAACAATAAATCAATATTTCCATTTATTAACTCTTAATTTGCATATTGACTGCAGCATCTTGTTATATTTAACACAAGAAATTTTAATGCAATAAACCTGTAATTGATCGGAAGTATACTAGTAGTGGTTTGTCGAAGTTGCATTCCGTTATGCGAATTAAACGTTATTATTCGAAAGAAAGACATAAATATATCATCGTCAGTATATTAATTAGATTCGGTTTTAGCGTCCACGTTAAAATCCACGTACCAATTCCCATCCACCACCACAAACACACTCACACCATTTATAAAAAGCCAAAGGAAGAGAAGAAAATTGTGATCCACAAGCACGTGCATAAGCACGGTCACGGACACAAACACGGGCATAAAAACAAACATCATCACAAGCACGATCATGATCACGGCCACAAGCATGGCCACAAACACGGCCATAAGCATGATCACAAACATAAGCACGATCATCACCACAAGCACGACAAGAAACACCATCATCATCATCACGGACATCACGGTCACAAAGATCATCACGATTGGAGCCATAATCATGGTTGGGCTCACCATAGAAGTGAATCAGAGGTGAGAGTTTTTGTTTTAATAGCGTCAAAGGGATTTTTCATGTTGCGAATTCAAATATTTTAGCCGATCGTCTTCAATCCATCTCCGAAACAGGAATACGAAACGGGTTTCGTGCCCAGCCACAACGAGGTAGATTCCGGTCCTGAGTCGGGTTTCTTCGATGACGACGGCTACTACAATTCCCACAAGTCAGTGCGCAGCGAGAGTTTTCACATAGACGAAGTGAAAAACTCGGAAGCGAATGATCCGATAGGCAAGCACTACCTCACCGGAAGTTACAAAGTGCACGAGAGTAACCCACTGGATTCGCCGAAAACTGAATACCACAAATTGTTTCAAGCCCCTTTAGCAAACATTAACTTGAAGCAATCGAATTATGGTCCAACCGCATCAGGAGATGACGATGAAAGCGAGGGCGTCGAAGAGGATTACGGTGATGCGGATGATGAAGAAGAAGACGTGGAAGATTACGACTACTCAGAGGGTCAGCAGAGCGGCAGCGCTTCTGCTAACGTCGGCAATACATTTTACGAAAACGTAAAACAGTATTTTCACAACAATTTGTAAGAGGTAACGCAGGAGACGCCATAAAAAATAGATAACCAGCGTTAAGCATCCCTTATTCACGTTGAACTGTAATTTATATCTTTTTTCTCATATTGTATATACATATCTAGATATTATTTTTGTTGGACTGCCCTGCTCTAAATGTATTTTTGGTAACGTATTTTATAAATAAAATATTTTAAATATTTTGATTGTTTCATTCTATTAATTCTTGAATTATGGAGTATTAACAAAAAAAGGTGGCAGAATACGGTAAGCTTCGCTGAAATATGCACAGCATTTTTAGATGAAAATGTGTTAATGTGGAAATACAGGATGTTGAAAAAACAACATTTGATGCGGTTTATTTTTAATTCTAATTAGTGGAAAACGATATTTCAGTGATATTTGGGATACATAATAGGAGATTTTAGTAGTTTTTATGTCAATTTTATACTTTTCAATTAGTTCACTATGGGAAAAGCGGATGACGAGTACCATAATACGAGTCTGCTCAGGACTGAACGAACTAACAAAAATTAATTTTAAGCATGCAATTTTCTTGCATTTTTTTCGTATCTCTTACGGTTTTAGAGTATACAATCATTTTAATTGCTGGAGCAAAAATAACTATCACTATTTTGATAAATTATTGAAAAACTCCTACAGTGAACTAATTGAAAAGTTAAAAATTAAAAGTAACGAATTAACAAACATTAAACAAAACAACAAACATAAAAAAAATACAAATTAAAGTTCCAAAATCCCTTATTATAAGTACCAAATGTCACCGTCAATTTGATTATTTTAAATTTAACATCCTATTTATTATTTAACAACAATTAGACTGAAAATTTTAGATATATTTCATGCGTTAGCTGATTTGTTAAGTGATCTTAAGAATACCTGTTGCGTAGTCTTCCATGCCGTTGCCCTGTGTTGGCATTTTAGCCAATTAAACTTGCAAGTTAAAATAAACGTTTATTTCACAACAAATAAAAAAATCTTTATATATAGCAAAAAAAAAATGTGTGCGAGGAGCTCATTGCAATAAATGACGATCGAATTGCGCAGCCAACTTGCGCAGCACGGTATCACAGTTGCTCAGATTCGTCGTTGCGACATGACACTGCTGTAGACTCAAACATTGCTGGTGCGTCACAATGCTAGCGTCTACCCAAATGTTTCTGATTACGTGAACCCAGACCTAAGCAGCAAGATTTGCCTTTGCTATTTTGTCCTAAAATATGAAGTTTTTGTTAGTTGCTTAGTAGACTTATGAACGGTAATTCAACATACCTTCAAAAATGAATCTTTAAGAACTCGCGGCGGTGAACCGACGTATCAGGAAAGTAAGAGTTTAGTTGAAAGTATTAACGAAAGGCAACGGTTTTAAATTATAGATCGCTTGTGCGGTAAAAACAATATAGAAATAGATTTAGAATTAGATGACGAGAGGAAGGGTTTGTACAAAATTATAATTAGCAATAAAATTAAATACAGGTTAAAGAAGCTATCGCGTGTGACGAGTTAAGGCAAGGGGTAGTGAAGAATGACTGAAATAATATTTACAAAAGGCGAATAAATAATTAGAACTAGAAAAGCTACGTTTGAATACAGATGTTAGATAGATGATTTAAAGGAGGATGTCAGTGCCAGCCGTGGCCGTGACCATGACTGTAGTAAGGTTGTCCTATGTGCAAACTTCCTGACACTTTTCCGTGGCTAAAACCATCGCCGCCTTCGCCGCCGTGACTCACAACCTCACCGTCGTCCGCCGCTTCTATTTTAATGTGCTTGGTAACAATTTTCTTGTGATGGACGTTTTTGATTTTGATGGGAACGTAAATTTTCACGTGCTTGTGTCTGCAAACACAAAAAAAAAACTTAAGACCATATTAAGGAATTTATTTTGGTGTTTGATATATTTATTCACAACTGCTTCTCCATTTTTAGAAAATCTTTTCTTGGGTTCCAGGTAATTAAAACGAGGTTATATAATATGCAGGTCCACTTTTGCAGAATCACATGTGTAAGAATAGTGCAAAATTTTTAAAAAATGAAAATAGTTTTCGCATCGCATTTTGAATTGTATAAAAATATCAATCCAAACTGTAATTCCTACATATTTTTTGATAAAACAACTATTGTATCCAGGAAATTACAGAATTTTGTCCTAAGGGAAATAAGGCTTTGGTTTTGTTCCTTTAATAATGATGTTTTTAGTTGTTAGTAATTAAAGATCAAATTCCTTTATTGAAACATATATATAATTTCAAAGTTTGACATTTTGTTTGTATTAAATTTTTAATTATGTTTATAATTTCTAAATCAGAACTTCATCAACAATAATTCTAAACAACATATGCAGTGATGGGATATAAGTTGATGTCAGTTGGTGAAAAACAGTTTTTAATGTGAGTTTAGTTATAAATAAATAATTCCAAGATTGGAAGATAAATTTTGTAAAATCATAAACATTTTTGTAAAATCAGCTGCTACTGTAAGTCAAATTAATAACAATAAAATCCATTTTTCAAACTGTTTATGATTAAAGTCCCTTTAAGCCCATAAGCCGTTTTGAAGTAGATATTGAGCGAACATAATGTCAAAAACTGCCCGTTGCTCTAATAAAGGACGTCGTTGCCCTTACAGAGTATGTAATTAAACCCAACAAAAATTAGAGTTGAAGAATATGGAAAGAAAGAAGTACACTTCTTTACATACGGCAAGGGAAGTGAGGGTGTGAATACACAATAAAATTTTTATGAAAAATTAACTTAAAAGTTATACAAGTAAAAATTAGAAAATGTTCTTCTCGATTAGATATCAACGACAATGTTGAAAAAGATTCAATAATCGTTCTGGTTATTGTCAGACGGCCAAGCATGTTCAATTCGGACATTTACATAACGTCACAAAAAATAAAAATAAAATGGTTCACAAGTAACGGAAACTTATTTTAATTTCACTAAAAAAGGACCAAAAAAAACCCAAGAACCATTTCTTACGAATATATAAAATCAAAAGGATCCAAGAACTCACAAACTAGAAATATATATATATATATATATATATATATATATATATATATATATATATATATATATATATGTATATATATATATATATATATATATATATATATATATATATATATATATATATATATATATATATATATATATATATATATATATATTCTCACGTATTGATTCACGGATGGAAAAATGTGATGACACTATACTCCGAGATATCATCCGTTCGCTCGTTGAACTCCGACTGGAATCCTGCATCCGACTGGAATCCTGCAAATCCTGCATCCGACTGGAATCCTGCAGACGTTTCGCCAAAATCTCACTTGGCATCTTCAATGCTCGCGCTTGGCATCTTCAATGCTCGCGCTCCGAAAACACTTCGAACACTCGAACTTCGAAGTGTTTTCGGAGCGCGAGCATTGAAGATGCCAAGTGAGATTTTGGCGAAACGTCTGCAGGATTCCAGTCGGATGCAGGATTTGCAGGATTCCAGTCGGATGCAGGATTCCAGTCGGAGTTCAACGAGCGAACGGATGATATCCCGGAGTATAGTGTCATCATATATATATATATATATATATATATATATATATATATATATATATATATATATATATATATATATATATATATATATATATATATATATATATATATATATATATATATATATATATATATATGTATATATAATATACTGTACTTCTACTGTACTATACTGTTTTAAGTAATATTCAAAATCAAATTACCATATAAATAATGTGAAATATGTTATTGTTTGCTTTCGTCACAAATATATATAGGGTGTTTCTAAATTTAAACTTTTTCTTTTAACACATCTAAGAATAAACGAAGCACGTGATGATACAAATAATAATAATACGTTTCTATCATTGTGCAAAGAAAATAAATTGCTTTTAAATATTGCCGCATGTCCCAGATTCGAAGGCGCGCAAATTAGAGTGGTTCTCCTACAATGTTTAATTAAGTTGTACAAATTACGAAGCGTAAAATTCTGCTCTATATAATACCTAGCTATGTGGAGAAAATTACTGGTCATTCACCCTCAAGGCACAAAAAGTTAACATGAAAGTTGTACGTAAAAGTGATTTTCTCATGACAGTAGATTTGATGATATAAATGGGTTGTTGACGCCAATAGTTTGCTAATCGAATGATAGTAATTAGTTATGTAATAACATCGAGAGAATGTTTCAACGATCCCCGCCCTTACGTCTAATTGAATTAATTAAAATGGAGTTTTTGAAAAAGCACAATCTTTGAAAGAAATTGAGATTGAAATTGATATACTTATTTATTTTTTATGTACGCATGATGATTGTGGCTTCACTTAAATTAAAAGATTTTGGAGCAATTCTAATTTGAAAAATTAGCAAAAATTCTAAAAATTCTCTTTTGATATAATCACAAATTGGAAAACCTACACTAGTAGGAAAGTCGACGATATTCGAAAATTTGTTTTTAGTTAAAGTAAATAAAGGAGAAAACCATTTCAAACCATATTTCGAAAACGTTAAAATTGATAATAAACAATAAGCTGGAATAGGCTTACAAATTCTGAACAAAATAATGAATTAAAGACATCAAATCTGATTCCAAAAAACGTTAATTTCAGCTTCTACAACCAAAAAAAAAATGGTAGGTATTATTTGAAGTAAATAATTTTAACCAAAAAAAGTTGGTTAATTAATTCAATTAAGCTAAGTTGTTAAATTTGTAATACGATATCTTCTCATTTTAAAGAGGTCCCAAGAACATAGGCTATTAAATAATCTAAATACATAATACATAATTAAGGTTCGTTGGCTTCTATCTCGAAAATTGCTGCCAAACACTAACCAAAACCAGCGTTAGGAAGTTAATTTTTTAGGGTAATTTAAAATCATGCTTTTGTCGTCTGTCAAGGTGATAGTAGCATATAAATTGTAGAAAATCCACAAAATGCTTTCTTTCTCCAAGAATTTTCTTCTATTCAGAATGTGATTCTGTTTAGTTTTGCACTATAACAAATTTGACAGCTAAGGAGTTAATATTTTTGCAAATTCCCAAGTTATAATTTTAACTTGGTTGGGTGCTTTCATGCTACTTACTCTCCTCCACCTCCATGTCCACCTGCTTGGATCAGTTCGGAGAGAGCTAGGACCAAAACAAACGCAATCTAAAACAAAATACAAAATTATAACGTATTTATTTGGTGGATGGTTAGAGTAAATGCTCACCAAAAATTTAGAGGCCATATTCGAAGTGGATTTAGCGCCTGCACACGCACCAAAATTCGACAGAGTTGTGTCGATTTAAACATTATCACTTTCAATTTATATGGTTCAGCTTTAGCGTAAATGAAAGGAAAAAGATTCGTCAAGCGGCCGGTCAAGTTTACCTACATCTCATTTGCAACGACTACGGTACGTTCACCTCATTTCTTTTTATCTAATAACGAGGAAGTGAGATAAGGCTGATCAGATGGAGGAGGTTTTCGTATTTTTTAATAAACTGCGAGTGACGTAACGTTCGCAATATATCGGGGATGGTTCGGAATCGACGACGCTAATTTCATTTTAATTATTGATTTAGCAATATGTCGTTCGGTAACGCTACTAATTGGCACGCTGAAGCGCGCTCTAATATAATCCGATCAACATCGAGCAAAAGTCGTTCGGAAATTTCTGCGAATTACTAAATAATTTTGCAGGCCATTTAATTTTAACTTTTTCTAATATGGTCCAATTCAAATCATTTTTGTTCATGTGGGTTGTTTTTAGACAAAATGCAGTACATCGGGGATATCCATATATCTATTAGATCATATAGGGGCCACAAATTAGTGCAGCGAAGGCCTCTAGCACTTTTGGAACACTCATGGCCCAAAATTACGAACAATAACCTGTAATTTACTGCACTTTCTTTCCAAACAACGATCTCCACTACCCTGAAGATTTAATAAGATTTCGCTATATTTTGAGAGAATATATGCATTTATGTTGATTGTTGAAAGCTGTAACATTTTATTGGATGAAAGTGAGATTTGAAGTAACAGGTCTTACTGATTATATTGAAATGTTTCGCGCATATGCTAGCACACTGTCTTTTCTCAATATTTGTTAATGTTGTTAATGTTATATGTATATATATGTATATATATATATATATATATATATATATATATATATATATATATATATATATATATATATATATATATATATATATATATATATATATATATATATATATATATATATATATATATATATATATATATATATATATATATATATATATATATATATATATATATATATATATATATATATATATATATATATATATATATATATATATATATATATATATATATATATATATATATATATATATATATATATATATATTTGTTCACGTATTGATTCACAGATGGAAAAATATGTTGAAAGAATATTCCGGGATATCATCCGTTTGCTTGTTGAACGACTGGAATCCTGCATCCGACTGAACAGTGTTCGAAGTGTTTTTGGAGCGCGAGCATTAAAGATGCCAAGTGAGATTTTCGCGAAATATCTGCAGGATTCCAGTCGGAGTTCAACAAGCGAACGGATATCTCGGAGTATAGTGTCATCACATTTTTCCATCCGTGAATCAATACGTGAATATATGTATATATATATATATATATATATATATATATATATATATATATATATATATATATATATATATATATAAGGTTGGTGCACTAAGAGCCTCTTAGATTTGAATATTACTAAGTTTAAATATTATAGCTTGTTCCAAAAAAAAATTAGTAAAAGACTTCGGTATCACATATGACTCAGAAATGTAGTACAATGTAGGCGAACCACAACTAATAGGTATATTCCTAGAGGGACCCAGACTATAAAAAAAAATTATTATAACCTAGTTTGCTACTCAATTGTTTCAAAAATGTATATCAGTTCTATTATTCTATTCTGTAACTGGTTAAACAGATTCGAAATATTAGTATTTTTATTAATAATATTATTATTATTACTATTATTATAATTAATGATGATAATAACAATAGTAATAATATCCATTTAACAAAATTAAATTAGAATAAAAAATGTTCAACTTTATGTCAAAATTTGTATTTGATAAAGGGACGGTGGTGTCGAATTAGCTGTCGTAGATCATTGAAAACTGTGATAACAATTTTTATTCTAATTTAATTATGATAATTATTATTATCATATGAGGACATCGGAGGCTGTTATTAACTTGTACGTGTCCTCCGCCAATGTCACCCCCGACGCCACTTTCGCAGGATATCTCAAATATCCTTTAAAATAGAGAAAAGCACTTTTCGCAGTAGTGTGGTGCCTTTTGTGAAATGAAAGATGGCGTAAAAAATGGCCGATTCTATTTTTGAAATACAGTGCATTTTATGAATGCCTTTGATCTTCTTTATTTGGATAATAAATAATTAAAAGCTAATAATTCATTTTATAACTTTTTACGCAGAGTTCAGTGCCGTATTCAGAAAAAATATACGGGGTCAGCTCAAAAAGGAGTTTTTCAAAAAAATACAATTTTATGCAGTTATTTTAGAACTAAACTCAAAGTTCTCAATAATTCAAAATACTTTTAATTAGTACGTCGTTGTAGGCTATAACGCTATGATGGATATATTGTGGCCCTCATTCCATTGCCTTTATTTCAGATATGTTTATGGTTTTATTTCAAACTAAATTTTGCCCCTCATATTCTTATTCTGGGAGGCAAAATGTTATACAGTATTCCTACAACTGTGGGAAATTTTAATATAAGGGATGGCAAAATTATTTATGTGTTATACCCCTCATGCTATTTTCGTTCCAAATTTTATATGGAGCTGTAAAATATCATTAGCAATTTACATCTAAACGAAAATGTACTTGTAGGTTATCGGATATGCGGAACTGAAAACACAGAAAAGTTTTTTATGACCTCAAAATTAACTGTAGTTTTAGTTATTATGGTTCTTATGGAATTGATTCATAGTTTATGAGAAAAAAGTACGACACTTTGGCGTAATCTCTCACTGTTATCACTATCATTATCACTATTATGTGCTTTTCCCGGATTTTTATAAGTCCATTTACTACTTTTTTCCTTACAATTTATGCCGGTCTTCATGACTAGTTTTTTCAAATGGTTCGTCTAATAGTAAAAAAATGTTTGTCAGTTTTTTATTGCCTCAATGAGATATAATTAAAGCGACACAAAATTTGGGATGGGGGATTAAAAAGGCTTTAAGAATTAGCTTTTAAAGTTTTTGTTTTTTCTTTAATTGTTATTTTATGTTATGCAACTGAGATAATGGTATTTTTTAAGGAAATTTCAATAATTTTATAAGAATGAAGTTTACTTCAATATAGTAATTAAGTATTCGGCTTGTAGCTCACAATGATAATTTATTTGATTTGTGTCAATTTAGTGTCAATTAAAATTAAACCAATTAACGAAATATGCCATAATAAATTAATTTCGAAAAAAAATACTAAAAACTTTTGATTGTGTGATTTTGACAGAAGTGTGGATATTAATTGTATAACAACAAATCCACGTTAACTTAAAACCATATTCTAACTCTGTTCGATTTATATTTCATGTTCAAGTCTAAAGCAAACAACCAAAATAACTAGATACATATACTACATTCTAGTGTCAAGAGTGCTTTTGCCTTTGAGTAGGGTGCTCCAGAGAAAGGGAAGGTTGGAAACGTGAACAAGCTCAGTAAAATCATTCGAGAAGGGTTTCCGGAAAATACAAAAAATCTAATCATTTTTATAGTTTTCTTTGAAACAAAAAAAGGGAAGGTGACCACGCATTTAAATCAATCTCACTTCTATAAATTAAAACTTTTATTACAAAAGTAAAAAACGAGTCAACAACAAAAAACGTAACGACGAAAATAACGAACTAACCTTACGTACTAATTAACAAAAACGACTAGTCGGAAGAAAAACACAGGTAACAGAGCGTATAACTTAAAGTCTTTTAGAAAAGAGAAGAACTTAATCGTAACCCTTATGACCTCCATCGTCTCCACCTCCATAGCCTTCGAAACTGCTTCCTCCTAGACCACCGAAATCGTGCCCTCCTCCGATGGAGTTTCCGTAATCTGAGTGACCACCACCTATATCTCCGCCGCCGTAACTTCCGATATCGCCTCCGTGTCCTCCTCCAATGTCACCTCCGCCGTAACCGCCAATATCGCCACCTCCATGGCTCCAGTCACCTCCTCCGTAACCTCCCAAGTCACCACCGTCGCCTCCAGAACTGAAGCCACCGTGTCCGCCAGTTTCTACGCCCCCTGATTCGTGGCCACCTCCTGTAATGGAAAATTTTAGTTCAGTTAAATGAAAATTTCTATTTCTTAGGGTTAGGGAGAGAGTTAGGGCGCCCGTTACCTGTAAAATAAATGCAATATCAGAACCTGTTTGCGATTATACCTTCAAGCGTTTGGAAGAATATATTTGCGTCACAATAATATTTACCTTGAAAGCAAAGAAGATAATAGATGTAATATGTGAAAGGTTAGTAGTGATCGTGATGGTGACCGTAGTACGTGGGAAAGCTGGCTTTTTCCAGGCCGCTTCTGATACCCTGAACGGCACCCCTTACTGCTCCTTTCATCAGGGTAGTTACTCCTTCGGCAACGGACGCAACCATGGTGCCCACGGAAGAAGCAACTAACAGTGTTTCCTTTTTTTAATTTGCAGAGTTTTCTTTGGCGCGTTGGAGGTACGGGGTATCGGAGAAAGAAGGAGATATCATGCTGTTAGGGTTCGAAATTGTAAGTGTTACTCTGGTTACTATCATATTTGACAGGATTTTAAATATTGGTATTGCCAAAACTAAGCCAAGTAGCATTTCAAGTTAAAAAATATAGTAAAACATATTTTAAAAAATTTGATAGCGGAACAAGTATTAACATAAAAAAAAAGTAGCGTCATATTGAAGAGACATTTAAAACGCCATTAACATTTAATTAACTTAACTAAAGGTTATGGACGTTAAATAGTTTATGATCCTCCCTGCGTGTTGTTGAAGTTGACATACTTATAAGCGTACTCAAAGTACGAAATTTTGTTTCTTGCAAATATTAAATAAATCCCACTTGTGCCAAACTTAATGAACTACTACATAGATCCTTCGATTTATCACCTAAAATTAGAAAAAGACCCGACAAAGAGAAAAGTTAGTTATAGACAAAAATCTTATAAGTTTTCTTTGTTAAGTAAATAAATGAGATCAAATACAAAAGTGAGCTCTACGGAAAACAAGATTATTAATAGAAGAAAAAAAAGTATCGTGCACGATCGAAATACTAATTAGGGTATATTTGGTTGTAAATGTATGTTAGAGACGTTCATTAATGTGTCGGTGCAACCCCTATCCGTTGCAGATCAAGAATCATCTACCTGAGTGCCAAAATCCGTGGTCACCTCCGACGGTGAACCCACCAGCGTGGCCTCCTTCGTCTCCGTACCCACCGTGACCTATTTCTACGTCACCGTCGCCAGAGTAACCGATAACTTTAGATCCCTCCTCTTTATCACCTCCGACGTGTTTGTACACCGTGTGAGTGTGGTGGATAGTTTTTACTTTGTACGGCACATGGATGATTACTTTTTTGTGTCTGAAATTAGAAAATTTGACGATTAAGAAAACGGACATTTAAGACGGCCCTTATTTAGTCATTACGGAATATCTATGGTTAGGGAACGTATCTGGAGAACTTGTTTTGTGTCGCTCGAACTCCAATGATGACCTTAAATATATATTACGACTGGTATGGACTTAAACATTAGGAAATATACAAAGCTGGGGTCAAGACTCGATAACATTTGTACAGGGTGTTACGAAATTAATTTAAAGAAGTAAGGAATACTTTGTAAAATAAGAATTTTGTATAGGTTTGAGTTTCCAGTAAATATTGAATAAATAAGCGAATAAATTTAGAAATGAGTGAACCGGATTAGAAAAAAATCGAATTAATGACAAAAAAAGAGTGAAGAGTGAAAAAATATTTCAGCGTAATTATATGAAACTTTGTTAATATGTATATTTCCGATTTGTTTTTAAGGATATAATTACTGTAGAAGTGATTAATAATCCAATTTTGAAGCGAAGAGAACTTAACAGTAGCCTGTTTCGCTGATAAATTGTTCTCTCAATTAAAAAAATAGAAGAGTCAGATATTTTGTCAAATATGTTGGGGAAACAAGTTTAAGTAACGTTGTTGTAGACAAAGTCGTCTAATTGAGATAGGCAGTGCTTCGGGAACTGGACAAAAAAATGGTTCGACCTATCAGAACTCTTCACGCTGGTTTTATTTTTTCTAAATAAATAAATATTGCGTATTATTTAACAAATATTCTTATCAATTTTTCAAAGAAACTTCCACAGGCTACTGTAATATTTTTTACACTTCTGGATCCCTTCTGTTGAATCAAACTTGCTGATGTTTCGCCAATGATCTTGTTGGCCTCCTCAGAGCAAAGCCGAAAGTGTTTCAGTTCTGATTTTCAGTTAAGCTCTGAAGAAGCCAACGGGATGATTGGCGAAACGTCAGCAAGTTTGATTCGTCAAAAACCGACTCAGGAGAAATCCAGAAGTTTTGTGAAAAGTAGAATTCTTATCTCGAGCTGGATCAGTCAAAACAACTTTAAAAAATCTATCACTTTACCGAGTTTAAGGAGTATCTTGGTTCATAATTCATAGTAAAAAATAGGTTAATATATCTTCCCGAAATAACCGTAGTTTTTATGAGTATAATCAATTATTCATGTATATATATGTACCATATTATAGTTTAAGTCATTAAAATTTGCGTATAAGTATCACCCTAAAAAAGTTTAAATTAATTTTGAACATATTAAGTCTATTTAAATACAGAGCATTAGAAGTACATCTTCAGAGGTAAATCCTTGCTGGTAAACTGAGATGGTAAGGTTTTGGTTTTGAATGGTTAGACATTGAATAAAAGTACTGAAAATCAGTTCAGTATTAAGGTAAGCCAGTTAAAAATAATAAAATCAGAAAAACGAACAACAATCACAAGATAGGAGCTAATGTCTTTCTCCGCTTAAGCCATTGATAAAACGCTAATTAGCCGCACAAAGAAAAGCTTTCACCGACCAGGAAAAATAGTATATCTGTAACAAATCTGTACGGAATTTCTTTCACTTTCGATTCCGTTATTTATTATCAAGGTGAATGTCTTACTCGCTTATTAAAATTGCGACTTGGCGGAATGGCCAGATGGCGTTGAACTTTAAAATGAAATAACGCATTTCACTTAGTTTATTATAATTTAGATAAAAAAATTTTTCTTTCTACTATTATATTCTGGACTCCATTTTTCAAAAAAGTCCACATATGGCTATAACTCAATAATATTCGATTTTTTAATATTCCAAAGAGGACATGCATATTTTTCGTATTTTGTTGAGTAAATCCGTTATTTAAAAATTTAAAACTTTCCACATATAACATAGTTTATCTGAGGCACTTTTTTCAAACGTTTTAAAGGAATTTTTATAATGTTAAACATAGAAAATTTGGCAAATTCATGTTATATCTCGTAAAATAGTTTGCGTAAAGCAATTTGGAATAGCTCGAAAATAAGTTCAAATCAAAATGATATTTCAACTTTTTTCTCACAAATCTGACATCTTAAGTAATGTTTATTTCGGACAGTAAAATATTTATGACATATGATTGTTTACATATGTATGAAATGTGTCTTACCCTCCTCCATGATCACCGCCGGCTCGACAAACTCCAAAGAGAGTTAGGACCAATACTGAGGCAATCTGAAAGAGCAAAGTCCATAAAATAGAATCTAAAAATATATGCAATAAGATGGAATAACAAATGTATAAAACCTCGGTATATAAAAATGTTCTAACCAAATTCCCTAGACGAACAAATGTACAACGAAAATTTTTACATTGTACATAAATAGGTAAAGGTAAATATTCTATAGAAGTAGTAGAAGTATAAGTACCAGAAATTGGATTGAATGTATAGGCTTCTAGGCTTATTAAAAGGTTTTTTTTTTAAATTTCGGTTGAATGTTTCATTTTATATTGACCTAAAATAGTAAAAATGTATTTATTGCGGGATTAATTTATCTTTGTTTTAGAACTTATTGAAAAAAAAAGATTATTTTCACACACCTTACATTTAATTGTTTGAAGGTCAATTTAATATTTGACAAGTTAGCATTTACAAAAATACAAAAACCTTTAGTAGTTTTTCAACAACAACCATTATTATCAATTGACCAGCAATGATTGGCCATACGAAAATAATTCTTTATTTTTCATTTTGCCGACAATATCCAAGTATGGTAGTCCTTTTATATCACCAATCACTTTACACTACCAATATAAAACTCACCAAAAATGTGGAAGCCATTTTGCAAAAATTTTTGCCACACTAACCAATATGTCCGAAAACGAAATGTGCCGTTCCGAACGCGTAACTCTCTATTTATATGCTACAGTTATGTGTATATCGAATGAAAGGAAAAAGATATAGACGGAGGCGGGCAAAGAAAGCAGCGGAACCAAACCAAACAAAATACAGCCGATCGTTTACCTTGAGACGGTCTGTAATCTTCCGCAAGATGCAGATTAAGGGGTCACGTACCTACGTGTGTAATTAGGAAACGCACTTAGAATACTGCTATACATAGTGCGCCAAATTAAAAATTTATTTTTATTTTGTTTTGTCGTTTAAGGTGTTTGTATAGTGTAAAAATCCACAATTATTTATTAATAAATAGGTTTATTTGAAACAATTCTCTTTTCAATTATTTTGTGCAAGCGGCAGTAGCGACTCATTGCTGGAACATTTATTTAATGCAATCTTTGTTAATACTGTGCGGAATTAGTATTGTAAAAACTAAAAAAATTAACAGGAAGATATTTTGCCTAGTTTATAATTATTTTGAAAATGCTTCTTAAGCCTATTAAAATTAGTAAAAATTTCAAAACAAAGGTTAGAAGTATATCCACGGTTTCAACAAAATAAATTAAAAATTTGCAAAAACTATAATTTTATAACTATTGAAGGTAAAGGATCAGAACAAAAATTCAACGTCTAAGTTTTCTAATAAGTTTTCCCCTTATTTGTTGCTGCTTATAATTTAAGGGCTTTTTTGCAAATTTTAATAGTTTCAACAAATGACTAGTGATTGTAAAAATTATAAACATAATTTTAATTAAATGTGGCGTTTTACTACATAATATTTTTGAGTTTGAGTCTTGTAAAATTTTAAAAATAATTCAATGGATTATCCACAGTGATCTAATAAGAAAAGTTACTCGCCTATGTCATCATCGATATCTCCGATCTTTTCTTAATTTTACCTGCCTCAGGAAATAGCTGCGATGCTCGAGACTATCTAATTATAACAATCGAGCCCAGTGCCGTACGCAGGATCCAAAAATTAGAAATATTAGAGTTTTGTAAATGAATACATTTGTGTCAAAATATGTGGCTCGCCCATTATACTTGTCGATATTTTCACATATTTCACGTAAAACACTTTAGAGCTGATTAATGTTACAGTGAAAGGAAACCCGCTTCTAGGTGGAGATGCACTTGGAAGTTACTGACAAAAAATGTATTGCCATTGCACATAATGATGAGGTTGACTATCGGAGACTTCAGACTTGTTTGCATGTAGGAAAAATAGTATATTCTTTGCGAGATAGGAGTAGAATTTTTTGTATTCTAGATGAGGTATAAAGAAAAAAGATGTACTTTCATAAATTAAATTAATTAAATTGTATTTACAATCGTTAGTAAAATATGTAGATGTTAACAAAACTGCAAAAGTACATTGCAACTAATTTATAGTGGACCTGCATTCGTGGGAACAAAGTTACTAATTGACTAAGCATGAGATGTTGTGTTAGTGTATCACCCAATTGTAATCCAGTTTTGATCCAACACATCTGTTTCACTTTTTGGTTTGGTTTCTATTCCAATCCAATTTTATTTTTGGCATGTGATAACCTATTTGTGCACGTCCAATTCGCATATTTTCTCTCAAATAGAAAAGCTGTTGGAATAAGCCCAAAATTAGTAATTCTTAAGAAAAAAGTAAACACAGCTGCAAGAGCATTAACGGAGTAATTCTTTCGTGTTCGTTATAAATGGCCGATTTTATCAAGGCTGCTTTTCATTTTATCGATGCTGATGGGGTCACTTTTATCCCCACTATATTGTCAGTGCGCGATTGAACTTATTTGGCTGTTCCGAAATCTGATGTCCTGAGATTACTGGCTTTATTTTACGCAAAATATAAGTCGGAATTCAAGATTATAAAATGTCTAGCAAACACAGTAATTACCAAGCATCGACGTTGTGGCTAACCTCGTTTCAATGAAAATGAATTTCTAAAACCTGTTAAGACTGCATTAACAACGCAGGCTCCGGAACAGAGCTAGATAATCGGAAATAAAGAAATAATAGATGACTCCTCAAGTAGAAGAAAATCACATAAACCTAGTATCGCAAAGAGTTTGGTTGAATTCTTAACATCCTGAGTCTTGCGGACCGATGTTGATATACATGGTAGACTTCTATATCTAGTTTCTGATTGCTTTGGCAACAAATTCTGCAGAAAAACGTTGAAATGGGTAAAAAAAAGAACGTGATCCTTGAATCGTCAGATATTCGAAGCAGATTTGACAACTCGGATGTTAAAAAAAAATAGGAAGAACGTCAACTTGGAATATGCAATATCAAAAAGCTGTATGCTTTAACTTTATTTCTTATTCCTTCTTATTTAACGATGAAAATTAATAAATTTATGTTAAAAAACGTAATCTTGAAATTTTTAAAATTAGTGGGTACACGCCTATGAATCTCGACCGGCAAAGAGTTGTTCAAGTTTCCGGTTACTAAAACGAATATTAGAAATCAAACCGCCTCGCCCTGTTTATTATAACAAATTCAAAATATGTTTGTTACGCCTTTCTCCGTGCAATTCGTCCATCCAAAGAGAGTACCCTTCACCTTGCAATGTTGGGAGTAGTTGCCTATTAATTTTTTTTCGTCCTGGTTTTTACTTTCTATATCGGCCCGTAATCCATTTAACGAAAGTGAGAACCGAAAATATACAAAAAAGGAAATGCGATTGTAGCTTCTGGTAGATAGCTGTTATAGGTTTAGTTCATTGCAACCTTTTGCTAATGTTTTTGCGGTGCTGCGTTTCTCAGTGCTGATCGTTTCTACATTTTGTCGGAGTGTGGCGGCTGACCTGTGCAAAATTTGGAATTCACGTTAACTATATAGTAAATTTCGTATAGGTAAGACTTCCATTTGTTAAAATGTATTACGTATTATATAAGGAGAATTATAATGGATGGTGGATTAGGTGTTCTGAAAATTTGATGTGTTCTTCGAAACCGTAACATCAATTTTAATACATGTTTTTGGTTACTTTCGCATAATATTTTCCCATCTTTAGTAATTTATTTTTTGTTCAAAACTTAGCTTCCATAAAATGGCACAGAAGTTTGTCCTGTGTTATAAAGGGTGGTTTAAAATTTTTTAATTTACCGATCGATACAAAAATTTTGAAAGTAAGTTTTTAAAAAATGTATTTATACACTGATAAATGCAAAATAAAAGCAATTTGCTAGGAAAATATGATAATTTTGACACATTCAATTTAACCAACAAATATAAAATGTTGAAAAATACAATCAGTATTCATTGTGCCGTTAGAGGAACATCCTAGTTGTTTTGGTAGTACAAAAGAAAGAACTGAGTTCCGTAGATAGGGCAGTTATATTAAAATAATCAATTTTTTCACGAAAATTATTAATTACTAATTAACTAATTAAAAAATTGACCTCTTTGACCCTTCTTATTTTAGCGATACTTCTTCAACGCAATTAGCAGCTCGTTGGAGCGATTTGCATGCTTTTTTTAAAATTAAGCTCCAAATAAAATCAGTCCGAGTATTCCAATCTTAATATAAAAGATGCTGATACTTTTTTGGAAAAGCGTCAATATCGGTGAAAATATTTCAAATCGTTAGAGCAATTACCAACTTTTCAGGATATCTCGTCTCCCATAAACGTTTAACATGCCATCCGTCGTGAATAAATCTGTATAGGGTCTGACATACTCTAAGGATATCGAGGGGAACCCCACAGCGATTTTGTCTATCTCCAACACTCTTCAATATTTTTAATGACATGCCAGACTTCCTGGCAAATCTGGGCTATCCAATAATGTACGCCGATGAGAGCAATATTATAATCAGCACTAAAAACACTAAAAAATTAGTCAATAAAATTAGCGCTGCGCTGGATATTATGCAATCGTGCTGCAGATCAAACGGGACACATTTCAATACAAGCAAATCAAACGCAGTACAATTTGGAACAAAAAAACGGCCTATGGATTACAGTAACTTAATAAAAACAGAAAATAAATAGTTACAGAATAATGACGGTACTAAATTTTTAGGACAATGTATTGATCAAAGACTTTTATGGACTGATCATAATAATAATATTCTATTGAAAATGAGGGCTTATTGTTACTTAATAAAAATTATAAGGAACAGTGTTTCAGTTGAAGTGTTAAAGTTGACATACCACGGGGTTGCTCAATCAGCTTTAATTTTCTGACATGTCTTTACGTGTACTGTCTCATTATATACACTAAAAAAAAAGAACCCGAATTGTTACCGAGACATGAGATTCACAGTCACAATACAAATTATATATAAAATAATATATTACGTTGGTATTAAATGTTTAAACAAATTGTATCGACTCGACCTTAGCTTTGCAGAATCGACATGGAATAATAAAACTAAATTAAAACTCAAGCACTTAATTGTTAAAGAATCATATTATACACTGGCCGGATTTTTCAACGACCGGAGATCTCCAGGTTTGTGATGCTCTAAAAGCTCTGTGTGGTGTTCTTTTTTTGTTGCTTTAAGTGTATGTTTGTTTGTTTTTCTTAAACGTAAATTTCAAAGTATATTTGTCCGTTACATCAGTTTGTATTGTACATCACAATGTAATATCTTTTTATTTTATATTCTTGACGACCCCATAATGTATTGTATTATTTGACTTAATAAAAGTAATTAAAAAAAATTAATAAAAGAAAAACAAATGGAGTGTAATGTTTTGGTTACAAACATCGTCTTAACATAATGTACACATACATATACATTCTTAATGTCGGTGTTGCTTGAACCTCTCATTTTAAGATTCGATTTAAGCATTTGGAAATAATTCCATATTTACCATACCATATTCTATATCGTACAAATTAATTCAGCAGTATTGAGGTCATTCCGATACCAGGAAAGGTATGATAAGCGTGTTTTCTGCGTTCAGTATTATTATATTATATTAGTTTAATTGATGTCTGCCAGTCGTGGGATAAGAAATAGCAAGTGACAGTTGA